AGTAATAGTGAATTGGGAAGTGTATAGACCTAGTCAACGATACCACCTTCCATAGCATACCTGCCTCTTCCATAATTATTATCACCACAATACAACTACTATACACAATTTCCAGTAGGTCTGAGTAGAAACGACCTAAAATAAAACTATAATATCCAATAAAATTCATAGTACACATAATTTAACTTTGGTGTCCTAACATCAAAACTAATCGTCACATTTATCCTTTTTATCAATTTCACTGCATTAATTAAATAAATAAGCGTAAACAAAAAAAGTAAAAACAATAATAGTTTGAAACAGCTGTTTGGTTCAAATAACATTCATTTGGTCACATGTAGCAGGAATATAAAAAGTAAACACGCTAGTAAAGCTAATGACGTAATTGTCAATGTTTATTATCCACACCGTTATCAGTTCTATCCTTGATAATTACCCACCCTCATTGAATAAATGTACATCGTAATTTCCCATATTAGTTAATTTAAACTACAATATATTCATAGTTGAAATAAAAGTGATATTTTCACGTTTGGGGGCGCTGATATAGGCACCCCCAAACGTAACCACAACTGAACACGATTTCATAAAAGGATGGTTTGTCTAATGCAGTATCCTAGTTGGGTTCAATGTTGACGTTGTGTTCAATCTATGTTATCCATCCGTTTATCTTTGTATAAAACCCGGCTGAAGTTGTGGTGGTGATTTAAAATCGTGATTCCTGATTATTCTTGATCTTCTTTTTATGACATCAATATTTCCGGGCCTAATCCAAACAAAGTTTAAGCAGACAAACATTAATTGTAAACAGAAAGCTACCATGAAGATTTAAAACATGTAAACATTGTTATTTTTCTAATCTTTCCTTGAAAAGTGGAGCAGTAAAATAATTTGCATTTATCCTTTTTCATTAAGACTCGTGTACAGAGCCTCGATTTGTACTGTGGTTTAATTAATTTTGGTTTCAACTATTTTAAACTGTGGTCTAATTATCTCTACTAATCTTACTTATTTCCTATAATCAATAACAAAATAAGAGTAAATAAAATAACATCATAGTTCCATAGTTTTTATTTAACCAGCTGTTAAAACAGATTATATTGCTCTAAAACAAATCGAAGATTACAAAGACTGCGTTAAAAAATAATTTGAACATCCTAGTATTTTACTATGTATATTTAATTAATCTGTCATCCTCTTACAGAAGAATTGATTTTTATAGAGATTAAATCTGTTTGCTAGGCCAATCGAAAATTTTTATAGGTACTCTATATCATAAAAGTAATTTTCATAAACTTTTTCGTCCCTGGTAACTATCTTACAACTGAAGAATCAGCTGTTATTCCATTACAACTAACATTAAGCCGTTATAAAGAAATTTGGTTAACATCTAACGGATAGTGAACCGTTTAAATAAATCAAACTTCGCCCCCTAAATAATGACCTTGAATAATGAGGTTATAATGACCTTTTTAGAAACTATTAGTACCTTCGCCAAATCATAATGTTTCAATTGACAACTGTATATTGCTTTATTGCTCTATATTGCAATATTGCTGTATATTGCACTATATTAATCAATATAGTGATCCTCACTTGTTTTTTGATTTTTTATCTTGTTAGCTAATTACCAAATTTGTTGTTCCCCATGTTGATTGTTAATTATTGTTGTTATTTATTGTATTTATTGTTATTTATTGTTTTTTATTGTTATTTATTGTTATTCATTGCTATTCATTGTTATTTTTTGTTATCTTATTGTTATATATATTGATATATTTTGATACATTCTTATTTATTAGGGTTCTTTAGTCAGGTCATCTTGATGTGATGTATGAATTGTTCTATGTAAGTTGAATGAAACTTCTTGCCATGATTGTATGTATGAAAATGGAGTTTTCCGTCTGTAAATAAATAAATAAATAAATAAATTGAACGTATCGATGATTAGCATTACAAATAGTATAAATAAGTCAACCCTAAGTATGTCTTTACATTTTTATCCAAATGCTGAATTTGTGACACAAAAGCTGAATGTTTACAGCTGTTATGTTAAGCAAATTATTTTATGCCAAAAGCTAGTTTAGAATCTTAGTGTCGGCTGCTAGACTTTTTGAAAATTAAAACTAATTTCTAAAAAACTGGGACCCTAAACTAAAATTATGGCTTCGACATTCCCTAGTTCTCAAAATTATCTTCCTTTCAACACAAAAATCATGAAAATCCGTCGAGTGGTTGATTCAGAATCGTGAAATAAAAAAACACAGTTTCGTTTTAATATTATAGAAGATCATAACCAATTCATAATCGCATTTTAAATAGATTCCTTAACTTATAAAGAATATGTTTATGATTAAGATTTGTATTGGTAGCTTTGTAGAAAATTTACTAGATTGAGTTGTATCATAGTATAAATCCTTCTGGACATAAAAGCACAACTTTTTAAACTCTTGATTATGTAACCGGTTGACTATTTCTATAAGTGATCATACAATCAAATGGAGATACTTCAGCAGCGTGTTAAAGTCGTGGCCTATTTAAGTATGTTTTATCTGTAGGGCATACATTAACCCATTATAAGTTCATGTTTAACGATTGGTGTGAGAAATAAGTGAGGGTCTTGATCACATAATTGGTTTGTGAGAAGGACTATATTATTCGTCATTTTGTGCCATTCTTTAGACTAGATCATTATTTTGTCTTCCTAGTGTTTTTAATGGTCGTGAATCAATTTAAGTTTCGTTTTAAATATACAAGACAGTGGTTTAAAAAATATTTTTACCACGCATAGGATTCAGGCTGGACGTTTTTTATTGTTGTATGCATAAGAATTTACATATATTACAAATACCTATATATATATATATTACAAATACCACATATTGCTTTACTTTAATCTCTTCTAGAATGACATACAATTTTATTAGAAAAGTTATTATAAGATTTCAAATCCATATCAATTTTTCCTCCGCTTATAAGGAAGCAATTTTTGCTCATAATTAATAATTAAAGAACAATCTTATATTAAGAAATAATTATTGATCGACTTTTAAAAATAAAATGTATGATATTATTAAAAATAGTTGAGAATGTTTCATGGTCCACTACAAATTTTGATTTCTAAACTGTAGAGAATTCATAGGAACTTTTACCCCCTGAAGACCGAACGAACGTACAAGTTTTCAAAACTTACGCCTAATATCGTAAACACTAGGCTATCCTTTTTAGCTCTCAGGAAGATGAGAACTACTTTGGGCCCGCAATTAGTATATGTATATGTAAACTAATTACATGTAATGTAATTTATGTAATGTAAACCCGCGATGTATGTAAACTAATTTAAAATACCCGTTTCGTTGCTTTTGTATAAGAACGAACAACTGACTTGACTGAAACCACACAATCGTTACAGTGATATTTTTTAAAACTCATTTGTTTCTTAGAGGAAATATTTTTAATAATTCCAGCTTTCTGTCAACTATCACGATATGTAAAGTTATAAACACCATGTAAATCCTCAACAATATCAAATGTTGAAAGATTCTTTGAACTGGATCCTCTTAAAATGAGTATTTAAACTAGTTTTTAGCTCAATATTGATAGAAAACTCCAAGCTAAGAGCTGGATTTTTAGATGAGATTGTTTCAGTGACCGAAATCAAATAAATCTGTTGTTAGTGACAAAACAGGAATTAGTTTTTTTTTAGATTCAGCGTACCATAAAACCTGTTTTCAAATAAATGGCCACAGTGAGACTAAAATTAATAAGTGAAAGCAAACAAATACATTTCAAGCAGCTTTTAAATTTACTAATGCCAAGATGCTTATGGTTACATTTACTTAAACATAAACTAGTAAAATAAAATGTGCCAATAGTGCAACAAATCTTAATAATAATATAAATCTTTTTGACATATTCTTTAAACTTCGTTTTATTCTTATAGACGTTAGATATCTACCATTAATTTTACATCTTAAAACGATATTTGTATAAAACACCTTGTTAAAAACATGATAATTTCATATCATATTTCCAATAACATTTTAAAGTTTATACAAATTTAGTTTTACAGAGAAAACATTCCAAGGATTGTGTTTCAATGCTAACCTTTACTAACAAAGAGCTTAAGACACGTGACTCATGCTGTGTGGGTATTTGCATTTATAAACCAACTGGGATTCAATAGTTGACTACAATCAAATGTATTACATGACATGTTCACATGTATTCCTATAGAACATTATTATGCAATCAAGTCTAATTGTACAGCTTTGTTGGGGCTGACATCATTACAAAAGATCATTTATTTGTATAATCAATATGCTACTCACATCACCAATGCATACAATGATACAATGAACAGTAAGGAGTTAGTAAAATATATTCCAAATTGTGTATGTTCTATTTTGTGATACTTAATATAATCCATACTAAATAATAATAAAACTGATGTTTATGTCTTTTCTTCACACATAAAACTGGTCTAACGCAAAGAGTTGTTGTAATATTGCAAATTTTATTACAAACTTATGAACTTATGAACTTTTGCTTATCTTGATAAAGTGAAGGGACAATATTCAAATATCATAGTACCAAACATTAAGATAGCGTTTATAATTTTTTAAGTAACATATTCTGTGACAGGCTCATTTGTGACCATCAGGCATTTGACTATGCTCCGTTTGACTGCAAAATTCAAGGTTGGAACTAGGTAAAGGTTAAGTTAAATTGATATTATCATCAGTAGGTTTGTGTAATTATTTTATATTGAATTTAAACATCTTTCTCCTATACATTCCAATCAAGCTGCAAAGCACGAGTGAAGCTGATACTGGTATTGGTACATTATGTTCCTGTTTGGTGTATGCAATCTAATACCTAACTTTAACAAATTTCCCAGGACAAATAAAAGTTCAAGTTTTAAGCGTTTTAATTTAGTTGTTGCTTATGTGATAACTGACTGAACAGATTGTTTATAGCTTTAACACATAATACCGTACCTTGTACACTCTGTTCCGCTCAGTAAGCGTGTCAAAGATGGAGTACATAGCATTCAGCATGGACACCACCTCCATTGGCGTTATGCGAGAGCATATCTCTGTAAACGTCACAACGTCGCTGAACAGAATAGACACGCTGTCGAACATCTGAAATAAACCAAAACATGGAAACAGATTAATGTGAAGGGCCAAAAGGAATATTTTCTGGCTCGAGCTTCCATTTCAAGATCTCGAACTGTTTGATTTAAACATTTTACGGTTTTTAAGAACGAGATAAAAAATACTGTAAAATATTCAAAACGTTTTTGCAATTAATTTTGTAAATATATAATATGGTTCATGTACTGTAATAAATACTGTAAGTTCGAAGGGATTTTTGGTACTTACGTATTATACGGAGGCCACTTATTTTACAGCGCGCTGCGGCGGTTAGGTTAGGTTCGGTTATCATAAGTTTTTATGACTCATCTCGTATAGTTCGATTCATAACGAAACTAGGAAAGTTCTAGAAACATATTTATGATAACCCAACTTAACCCAACCGCCGCAGCGCGCTGTAAAATAAGTTGCCTCCGTATAATTCGTACGTACCGGATTTTTTAAGAATATGCATGTCACTCTTTCACAGTGTTCTATAGTGGTTTGATAGTTATATTAAGGTAATTAGTTTAAGTTATGTTAGATTAGTTTCGTTAAGTTTTTTATGACAAAAAACAAGGTACCTTACATTAAAAAAAAACCTTTTTGAACGCATCATTGTCTCATTGTTGTTATTGTTAGCCACGCGGCTAATTGGTATACTGTATATCTGTAATATACTTTTTAATATAAACACCCGGTTCAAGCAGAGATCTTTACAAGACCCACATGCCATTTGCCTTTGGGCTACCAATAAATGATGCTATTTAAAAACAAATATTCGACGTTAAATACTTTAATACTTTCTTATGAAATGGCGACCATACAATGTAGGTATTTTAAGCCAAGTATGAATGGAGATGAGTGTAGTATCAAGACCAACATTTTGGACCGTTCCCTTAAAAACACAAAAAAAATCTAATGTTGTGGATATACACAAGCACAAATTGACGTATTTGTAAGTGAGTCACATTAAAAATGACTAACATTTATCGAACTTGAGAGACTTGAGAGCATACCAAACGAGTTCAATTGGAGTGTGATCTATTAGGCCTATATTTGACAACGATTAAAATGTTGTTACAAGGTGACGAGAGAAACACAAATAATAAGGAGGTTCACCAACTCGAAAAGTGTATGTCACTCTTAGTATATAAAAGGGTTTGAACAACCTAGCAAGTGTGGATTTGTCTACCTGAAAAGTGTACGTAGGCATAGAGGTTTGACCAACTGGAAAGAAGGGTGGTTTAACTTACCTGTCAAGTGTCTACAGGAAAGAGTGTATAGGTTATCCTCAATCTGGGAAGTGATTAGAGGGTTTTCGCGTACCTGACAAGTATCTATGGGGTTCTCGCCCGTCCGCAGCCGATCCGCCACCTGCTTAGGAATCATCTGGTAAAGCAGCTCGTCTGTTCGTCGCATCTCATCATCCAGCTTTCTCATCGACTCCTCGAGATATAATATGGTTCATGTACTGTAATAAATACTGTAAGTTCGAAGGGATTTTTGGTACTTACGTATTATACGGAGGCCACTTATTTTACAGCGCGCTGCGGCGGTTAGGTTAGGTTCGGTTATCATAAGTTTTTATGACTCATCTCGTATAGTTCGATTCATAACGAAACTAGGAAAGTTCTAGAAACATATTTATGATAACCCAACTTAACCCAACCGCCGCAGCGCGCTGTAAAATAAGTTGCCTCCGTATAATTCGTACGTACCGGATTTTTTAAGAATATGCATGTCACTCTTTCACAGTGTTCTATAGTGGTTTGATAGTTATATTAAGGTAATTAGTTTAAGTTATGTTAGATTAGTTTCGTTAAGTTTTTTATGACAAAAAACAAGGTACCTTACATTAAAAAAAAACCTTTTTGAACGCATCATTGTCTCATTGTTGTTATTGTTAGCCACGCGGCTAATTGGTATACTGTATATCTGTAATATACTTTTTAATATAAACACCCGGTTCAAGCAGAGATCTTTACAAGACCCACATGCCATTTGCCTTTGGGCTACCAATAAATGATGCTATTTAAAAACAAATATTCGACGTTAAATACTTTAATACTTTCTTATGAAATGGCGACCATACAATGTAGGTATTTTAAGCCAAGTATGAATGGAGATGAGTGTAGTATCAAGACCAACATTTTGGACCGTTCCCTTAAAAACACAAAAAAAATCTAATGTTGTGGATATACACAAGCACAAATTGACGTATTTGTAAGTGAGTCACATTAAAAATGACTAACATTTATCGAACTTGAGAGACTTGAGAGCATACCAAACGAGTTCAATTGGAGTGTGATCTATTAGGCCTATATTTGACAACGATTAAAATGTTGTTACAAGGTGACGAGAGAAACACAAATAATAAGGAGGTTCACCAACTCGAAAAGTGTATGTCACTCTTAGTATATAAAAGGGTTTGAACAACCTAGCAAGTGTGGATTTGTCTACCTGAAAAGTGTACGTAGGCATAGAGGTTTGACCAACTGGAAAGAAGGGTGGTTTAACTTACCTGTCAAGTGTCTACAGGAAAGAGTGTATAGGTTATCCTCAATCTGGGAAGTGATTAGAGGGTTTTCGCGTACCTGACAAGTATCTATGGGGTTCTCGCCCGTCCGCAGCCGATCCGCCACCTGCTTAGGAATCATCTGGTAAAGCAGCTCGTCTGTTCGTCGCATCTCATCATCCAGCTTTCTCATCGACTCCTCGAGTTTCTTTGACTTCTGCTGTTCCTGGTCTAAGGCCAACTTCAGCTCAACCGACTGCTGGGTACCCGCGAGCATCAGGTCTCTGCGAACATCAGCTGGTGAGATGCACTTCAGCAAGATAGTAAGAACTAAGAACATGTAGCACCGCCACTACATAGTGGCACATCTACAGTAGTGCACATTTTCTAGTGAGTAAAAAAACGAAAAGTTTGGTACTGAATTGGTTTTTAATGATCTAACCATTTAAACTAACTAACCATCAGAATCAACTGTAAGTTGTGTTTTTAAAATAAACAAAATGTACAAGTTATAGATACACTATATATATACAAAAAACACTGAGGAAAAAACGGGGTTTTTAATTATTTTAAATGATATCGAGTGATGTAGTAGTTGGATAAATAAACTTAACAAAAACATATATTTAAACACACAAGACAGTTTTACGTTCTTTTTAACCAATAAACCTATATAATAGAAAACATTTACAATTAACTGTGAAAGAATTTATTGGTGTTGCAATGTAGCATTACGATCAACCACGCCTACGTGTGAACTGTCTGTCGTTGATCACTTGCTATGGTTTTAATTGTAAATACTACATCAGAATATATCAAGGTACTCTGTTTGTATGTTCTATACTTTGTTTTAACAGTTTTTTACAGTTAATATAAAAATAGCTGTTTTAGAGACCCGGGTTAAAATCTCATTTAGCTTTTGCTTTTACCACATATATTAGAACAGAAACGGTAAGGGCGATAAAAGTAAACAAATGATGTCACTGGCCCGAAAGTAAACATTATTTTACATGACTAAAAGGAAGTGTCGTCCAAATTCTGCTAGTGACGTAACTTGTTTATGTTTAAATCCATGTAGTTTATGTTGTAATATTCGTGTGTTTTACCGACGTGATAATCCAGTGACCAGATCTGTCGGAACCCACCTTATCTTACTAATATTATAAATGTGAAAGTTTGTGTGTTTGTTTGTTTGTTTGTGTGTTTGAAGTTCAATCACGCATAAACCACTAGACGGATTGGGCTGATTTTTGGCATGATGATAGCTTACATTCCCGATTAACATATAGGCATATTCTTATCTAAAAAATCCTTTCAGGCTCCGCCCCGGTGGCTCTGTAATTCCACATGTTAACCTTATGAGTATCCATATTTAAAGGGAATTAAAGAATTTTTCCTACAGTTACCTAACAATGTACATGTACTCTCACTGATTTGAGGAAGCAAAGTGGCCAATTCGCTCATCAGTGAGACAATGTTAACATTGTCTCACTCTAATTACTTTGTCTCACTCCAGATTTGCAACGTGAAGGCACGAAATAGTGAGCGCGTAACATGCAGGCAACGTCGTATGCGCGCGAAATACGTTGGCAGCACTGGCTGTAAATCAGCTGGTCAGCTGTTGTACTGTTGTATTTGTCACTTAACGTTAAATGTTATATTAAAAGTTCACTTCTGTGTAATAATAGGTTATGTTTCTTCACCAATTTATTTGTTTTATTGTAACTGTAGGAAAAGTATAATGTGCAACTCGAGTTCAAAGTACAATTGCCTCACTCGAGAAACCATTCCTCACTCGCCTACGGCTCGTGAGTAAGGATTTCTCTCGAGTGAGTCAATTGCTCACTTTTCTCACTAGTTGCACAAATAACTATAGTCAGCTGTTTCAACTAAAAAAGTCGGTTCTATGATATGGAAAAGCATTACAAAGTTAAAAGATTTACCAACAGGGTGCAGCACTATATTTTTTTTGCATTTATGAAAACAGCTAATTTGAACCAAGCAGCAACAAAAAACTGCGATTCGCAATGAGAACTGTCAAAGTAGGATTGTTTCCAGTTATGTTTATGTTTTTCATTTCATGAATAATTTGTGATATTTTGCGAATTTTTGTTAATTAATTTTTCTCTATAGGTGAAGTGGTAGAACATTATGGCTATGGTAGATGTGTAATACAGGGTGGCGCAGATGGATCGGGTGGTTTTAAAATACTAGTCAAACTGTCAATTTGAAAGGTATTGGATTGAAATAAAGAGCAAAACGTGTAGTTACAATGGAAGTTTACTGAACAAAAATTGTTAAGTTAGTTTTTAAAAATTACATCCATCAAATGCCTTCCTTCTCGAGCGACGCATTCTTGGAGTCGGTCCTTGAGGTCCCGCATTGCTCGCTCAAGCACATCACCAGGAATTGATGTGATTTTGTTGTGAATTGCAGCCTTCAACTCCTGAATGGTCCGGGGTTTGTTCATGTAGACCCTTGCTTCAGGAGTTGAAAGTTTGCAATTCACAACGAAATCACATTAATTCATGGTGATGTGCTTGAGCGAGCAATGCGGAACCTCAAGGGCCGACTCCAAGAATGCGTCGCTCGAGAAGGAAGGCATTTTTGATGGATGTAATTTTTAAAAACTAACTTAACTAATTTTTTGTCAATAAATTTCCATTGTAACTACACGTTTTGCACTTTATTTCAATCCAATACCTTTAAAATTGACAGTTTGACGAGTATTTTAAAACCACCCGATTCTTCTGCGCCACCCTGTACTATAGAATACTGTAAATTTAAAAAAGCAAATTTTATCAAACTGTGTCCTAACTTATTGCAAACGCAAAGTTTGATTATAACTGCAATAAGCATTTTATACTTATATTCCAACCCCGTACGAAGGACGGGTACTCTGCTAGTATGTTATGTATTTAGAAATAAAAAACTATACGTCTCAAGAAAGAGGGCGAAAATCCTTTTCTTTCAATAAGTATTTCATACATTTCAGTTTAATTAGAAATCTAATGTCATCTGAGGAAGTTAAAATATGATTTACTCTATCACATTAAAGTAGAATATAAATGCATCTCTATCTAGAAAGCTCGTCGTCAGTAACATTTATACTGTACCTTCCAAAGCCGATTTAATAACAACAGAGAGTGTGCTCAACAGCAAGTAAAGCTAGGGATTGAGTTATCTTTGTTATTTCATACTTTAAAGAGAGAATCTGTTCATCATTGCAGTGCAGACTTACAAAAGTACTCTTTATTACACTTTCAAAATCGGAAAGAGTTTTTGAGCTGGTAGAAGTGCAATAACACTAAATCGTTCATGGTCGCGAAATGGTTTTTTACCATCATTAAATAGGTTGCTGGGAATTTTATTTTTTTACGAATTTGTTCGAGGGTTTTGATGCTGTGTGCCAAAATATAGTATTAAAAATTTCTTACAAAAAAAGATAAAAATTACGATTGTTAATACTCTTAAAATAATACTCTTAAAACACGTTCTTTCGCACAATAATTACACAAAATATAAAACAGCAATAAGTTGTATTTAATATGAAGCCTCTAAAGGCAAAGTGGACTAATCCACAAATTTTCAGTTTTGAGATTGGTATACCTTGCTGGTGAAGAAAAATCTGCTCTATCATCTGTATTTTTATCTAGAACAAAAAATGTTTGGTCCAAATTGCATTATCACACATCTTCTTCTAGGCAGAATGGACGAACCCACAAAATTAAGTGCAGATTTGGACTATCGCCCATTAGAACAATGTTAATCCAAATGGCATTTTGTTCTAACGTCAAAATAGACTAAACAGTGATATTTTTTTGCTCTATTCGCCTTTATACTCTATGTAGGTCTTAGTTCAATGAAAACATATGTTGTGTATTCCCTCCTTAATGTTTATTTACAGGTTAGAATGTTTTGACTATAGTTGGTTTTGATGTGTAGCTTGTTTTCAGTGAATTTGGTTATAAGATGAATAGGCCTAAGTGTGATAAAAAAGTGTTGTTAAACAGTGAAAGAAGTATAAGGGTGGAACTAGATAATTATTTAGGTTTAGATTTAAGTAGTGATGCAGATGACACAGATGAGGACCTGGACTTTTCTCCAGTTCAAATGGACCATGATTATAGCAAAGGTAATAGGTTAACAGACATCTTAAATAGAAAGACAGTAAAAAGACGTTTAAAACTGTATAATTCTGAATCTGATGATGACGATAATAATACTGTAGTTACAAAACCTAATGTTATGACTTGTGAAAAATCTTGTAAAGCTACAGAAACCAGTTAAGTACATGTTAACATAGGCCTACGGCATACTACCGCTAATGTTGTACCAAATGGTATTGAGGAAAATAATGTATTTCAAACTAACAAAGGCCTACCTAGCTAGGCCTATGTTTAGTAGCAAATGTAGTACATCAGCTAACACTCCACCTAGCGGTATTCAAATTAGGCCTAATATGGATTTATTTAATTCTTCCAAAGGCATAGAAAAAGAAAATAAGCCCAGTAACTTTCCGGTGAACATAGGCCAGCCCATGTCTACTAATGTTTTATAGACTGAGACTTAGCCTATTTTAGTTCAACGTGATTTAGGCTATCCCGCTGAAGTTAGGCCTACTGACCTTCGAGATGATGTTGGCCCACCACCCGAAGTGCCAGATGCAGTGAATTCAATGCAAAAACGTGCCAAGCGTGGTTTATCCAATCCACAAAATTGGAAGAGAAAAAAAAACAAAAAAGCTCGCCTAAGTGGTGAAGCATTTTACCAAGACAACGGTATACAGATGCCTTCAAAGGAGTGTAATTTAAGTAATTGCGCCTGTGCTATAAAGTGTCATGAAAAAAGATTTTTCAAGAATTGACAAATTTCATACGCCTTTCTATGGTTTTTGCAACTTTTTAGAATATTGTTATTGCCAATTGTATTAGTGTTTTAGACTTTTACGTTGTTTGACTTTTATTTTATTTACGTAACTCTACACCTTGGCCCCTTAAATTGAAATTTAATGTCAAGATTTTAAATATTTGAGCACGATTTATGAGGTTATTAGAGTTCCTTTACCTATTCAATAGGTAAGAGGGAATTGAAACTGTACAAATATTACAGTATTAGAGCTTACACCGAGGTACGAATCAAAAAGTACCACATTCAAACCCCCGCCCCAATTTGGATTCCCGTCTAATAGGTACTACACGTGCAGCGGTATAAAATTCTTTAAAGACCTGCTAGATTCATGTAAACCATCATGATTGATGCCTGGGGTTCTTATACCCAAAAT